ATTATTAATGATTATTTTAAATATATTATGAAATTTTAAAATTCACTAAATTTTTACATGCCCTTTTTTGGTCATTTTGCATTTTCTTTAACTAGTGTATCAACTAATTTTTACTAAACATGATTACTTCATTAGCTAGTTTATTAACTAATTTGTCAAACAAAGCCAAATTAATTTACAGTTTTACGTTTTATTGATTTTTATGTGTATTTATGGTACAAAATAACCAATTGTTTTGTGTTGCTTCCGGTATCGATAAGAAAATGTTAAGTGGTAAACATTTTACATATTTATTCTTTATCTTCACGATCGGTATTTTCAATTCTTTCTAAAATCGAAATTTATAAACAAGTTATCAATTTGAAAATGACCGTAAAACGTTTGAATGATATCAACAAATTCAAACCCCTAGTCGTTCCAAGTAACACTCAAATTCGATTGTATGAGCTTTGGATGTCCAAGTTTGATTTGTGTGAATTTGCATTTAAAAGATAATACCTCATAAAGATGAAGAGGTTGAAAGCGAGGATGAAGAACGAACAAAAATGCTCTTTACCCAACAGTTATTCACTAATCATCAGGTGTGTTTAATAAAATTAAACGTGATTGTGATAAATAACTAGGAGTCCTGTGACTGTTCTTTAGATTCCTTGAGATCAGTTGAGTTGAGGTACACAAGCCGGTTTGGATGCAGATGGCTAACAAAAAAAGAACATGTGTAACTATAAATTAAAAAGAAAAAAGTGAATTTTTAAGATTTAACTAGATCCAAAAATAAACAAATTAGTATACAATGACGACGTGGAGCAGCTCCATCTATTGGCACTAGAGAAAGAGATTAAAGGGTTTGTCATTCCTATCTATCTATCTATCTATTAGGTTCTGTAAGCTTTTCATCTAGTTGTAGAATAAAAGATAATTTTTTTATATTTGTGGAAATAAAATATATATATATACGCACTTGGAATGTTAATAAAGGAGATTTTAATACAGATTTACAAACATTGCACATGTTAATAAAAAATTATTTGTTTGACAACGTTAAGATTCTTAGTTGGACGTTTTGGTCAATGGACTAGAATCTTAATAAGATGAGAATAGAATGTTTACTATTATCGATAAACGTGATTCCTTTATTACAACCAACCAATAGAGGGTCGTTTACCGATAATAGTAAACATTCCCATCTTATTAAGATTCTAGTTCATCAAAAAAACATCGTATGCAACAATTTATCCAGTAAGTTAAGACTTTGGTCCTTGCCATCAATCTTTATCGCGTTGATCCAATAAGGTAAGTGACATAGTAATCACCCTAGAAGACTCGGGGGGTCAAGAGTTAAACTTTTATTTGTACATATTTTGAGAAATAGTAGCTGTTTGTGTTTACCATTTTCACATGAAGGAATGCTATCTATTATGAATACAGGATTCATGCTGATGAAGCAAGGGCAGGCTGTCCCATCTCAAACTGCAAGCAAGCTTTGATTCTTGGGAAAGCCTGCCACATAATGCATGCAATTAGTGCAAAGCAAAGGATGCATGCAATTAGTAGGAAAGGAATGGCTGCATGCAATTAGTGCAAAGGAAAAAAAAGGGATTAGGGGTGGTTTTGGTCAATGGGAATATCATTATACCAAAACTTTTGGCACCATGTTAATAAAGAAGGGTACAGGTATAAAACAACCAAACTAATTAACCTGGCCTCTGTCCTTCTGTTTCTCTCTCTGTCTCTCTCAAAACATTCTCTAATTTCGACCGGCTTTTAGGAGGAGTTAAATATCTACACACCAAACTCTTCTTCCAATCAACATATCTCTTCTCTCTCTCTTTCTCTCCAAGTTGAAAATCACCAACATTTAGTCAGCCCATCAACACCCAACTCTCTGAATAAAGCCACAGCACCTGCAAATTGTATAGATTCAGTAACACTTCATTATCAAATCAACGTTTAATTAAATTGCGAATACTAGATGATCCACCCACATCGGTAGCTGCTGCTGCTGCTGCAACGCAACTACTGCCATGATGGATGATGTTTGTAGCTACTATTCCTATGATCTCCATCCCACCCATCAACCGGCTCCTTCCTCTTTAGACCCCCCGCCAGTTGCTGATGAAACATCTTCAACTGTTCTGAATCATCTCCCCTTTCCGTCATACCACCTCCAGGACCTGAAGAATTTAGATCTAGACCCCCCTGACCCTGCTGCTGCTGCTGGCTTCCCCATTTTCTGTTATCATTGTTACCTCCACCTACACTCATAACATATGGCGATGGCCTATAACCCCCTGACGGAATTGTTGGGAAACAAAGACCACCCCCACCAGGCGGACCCACATATGCTGCTGTATTTGAAGGTACCGAGAAATTGGTTTCAAATGGGAAACCTGGAAATTGGAATGGCGTACTAGATGAAAATGCAACTGCAGGAGAGGATGATAACACAGGTCCCCTAAATATTTCGGGATTAAACGAGGTACCAGCAGGACTCAACATTCTTTGTGATGATGATGCACCAAGAACCATGGGATAGCTCTGCTCCCCTCTACCAGGAAGAACACCTGGTACTGTAATTGCTGGATATGTACTACTTGGTGGAAACCAGGAGAAGTTCCCCATCTCCATATTATTCATTCTCATACTAGGAACAGCAGACAGAAACTGAATCCCATTTCTAGTAAGTGGTATCGATTCACCACCAATTTCTTCCACACCAGGTCCATTGTTCAGATCAAAGTCCCTTGAAGAATTTGGTTCCAAGTTAGAGAACCTACCGGACAGGAGTGACCTTGGAGGTAATTGTGGGATGGCAGGTCTACTAATACCAACCGACAGATGACCAACATCAGGACTCTCTTCACATGCATTCAGATCAAGATCAAGTCCTCCACCACTAGGACCACTGTTGCCGACATCCTCGACAACACCAACATTCAGGTCAAAGTCCAAAAAGCCACGGGCCTGCTTATTATCAGAAGCTGGAACATCTATGACCTTCCGAGGCTCTGCTGGACGAAATGCACTAGTGGCAGCAGATCCCTTCCAACCAAGCTCAGTCTTGCCTCTTAAGAGATTCTCAGAAGATATAAACGGCCCCTTAGCAGCAGCAGCTACAGTAATTGAAGCAGGCCGATTGCCTGTCATGACAGAACCTGCAGAAGGTAATGAGCAAGGCGTGTGAACAGCAGAGAACCGTCCTGGATTTGAAGGCATTTCAACATCTCCTTGAATCCCATCATCGCTAGGAAGAACTTCATTCAAGTCAAAATCCAGCTTAACCACCGTTTCTGACACAGGCGTAGAGATAGTAGAGAAGTCCCCTCTGGAAGCAGGTTGCTCGGAGATATCCCCCTCAGGCACATCAGATTGCTTTAAGCATGTTCTGACTTGTTGCACGGCGACTACAGGTGATTTGTCAGATGGAGCCGATCCACCAGAAACAACGACCTCATTTTTATCTATACTTTCCTGTGCAAGTTCACTAGTTTGCAGCAAAACAGAAGAATCAGGATCCACATTTGCTTTCTCGCTCTGCTCAGCATGACTCCCCATCTTCTTGTCCTCGGCCTCTTCAGCTTTTGGACCTAAACCAACATAACCACAAGAAGTGGTTGGCAATTCAGAGCCTTTGCTGTGTTCTTTTTGCAATAACACGTTGCTGCCACTTGATACTTTGAGCACCAATTTCTTCTCATCCTCATGCTTTTCTGAGGACCAAGACGCTGATTCATCATTAAGCAGTGTCTCAACCTTTGCATTTATAGTTGCATCTGAACAAACTCTCTTGTTTTCCGTGGCCTTCTCCAAGGCTGAGCCAGCGTTCTTGTCTTCGTCAGACAATGGACTACTGTTGTTAGGTTTCAAATTTGGAAAATGGTAACTCCGCAACTTATTAGGAGAAAACTTCCTTCCATCATGAGACTGAAAGACTTCATCACCCTCTTTGCCAGTACCGGTAGATTCTATAGAAGGCAATAAAGCAGAAGTATCTGCTACCAATGCAGCAGGCTTTGCCTCAGGTGCCACAAGTACAGAATTGCCATTCTGCGGCAACCCAGCAACCGAAGAATCTACAAATGAAGCGACTTTACCATCTGTGCAGATGTGGTTCACAGCAGACAGAACCTGCTGCTGGGATCCACCTTGTGCAGGCAAACATCCAACAGAACTAACCTGTTCCATCATGACATGACCATTGGTCACTTTCAGTTTATCTTCACTTTGGCAACCATTTTCAATTGATTGTCTAGACTTGGCATCATTTCTGGGTGAAGTGTCTTCAGGCAAAGCCCGTTTATTTTCAGGGGAACCTGCTGGTGAGGCATCAGATGTAGACATCTCACCAGCAGCCACACTGGCAAGCAGATTCATTCCGACATCATCGCCAACTGGCGCAGATGCATTAACTTCAGAAAATTTCGCACAGCTTTCAACCAATGCATTTATAGAACTATAAGAAGCTTCATATGATTTCGTTGATTTCAGTGTGCCACCTGATGCTGAGCCAGTGGCTTTAGAAGCCTCTGTCAGTCTCTCAGCAATTTCACCATCTCGACCATGTTCATCACCAGGGATAATTATCCCCTTCTTAACATCATCAAATCCAACCAATCCATCTTTTCCCTGAGAAGAATTCGTGCTCATTGCTAGCAAATTGTTGCCTGGTGGTGCATCTCCTTTTCCCCTTGTCCTCCTATCAAGATGATCTTGCTTTTCTGAATGTACAAGAGAACTCTTGCCAAATGTAGCAGAAGCATCTTCAACAGATCCCCCACTGCCAGTACGTGCAGGGCTTGGTCCTGTGCTTGGCAGTCGCACTATAAGTCTCTGGTTGTTTATGTTATCTGCAAAAGACGTGTCAGCTCCTCGTTCAGGTGTAGCTCTAATTGGTGATCCCTTACCAGAAACAAAGTTCCGATCCACCGATTTCCCAAGACCCCCTTCCTTCTGAACACCCGGGACAGCAGATCCATGGACCACATTGATTGATTTCCTACTATGAGATATACCACTAGAGATCTTATTTATGCATCCAGAAGTGGAGCCGGGAGCATCTTCCTTGCAAGAAGCCCCCACCTTTCCATGCTCACTAGAACAGGAATGGCTATTATTCGCAGACGGACTAGAACTGCTACTCTTCTCCTCTTTAGTTGTCACAGGTGGCACATCTGCAGAGCCAGTGCCAGCTGCAACCGGTGCCAGAGGCTTTATAGTACTAGGAGATTCAGGTGATTTGACAATGGCTTCACCAGAATTATGCTTCCCCTGCTGAGCTTTCAATACAGAAGGTTGTGGAGTAGAAATCTTGGCACCACCCTCGGAGGCTCCACCTATTCGTCGATTACCCATAGGAGAGACTTCCGGCATCATAGGCTTGTTTGGCCAGGAACCTCCTCGTCTTGTACCAGACCTTGTTTCAATGATGTTCATTTCGGCTTCTACTCGTTTCTTCCACGTGTCAACCAGACTCCTAGCTTTCTTTAGAATTTCTGGATTTTTATGGCTGCGCAAGTGATTAACAGACTTCCCGACATTACAGGTCTGTAAAGCATGGAGATTCACAGGTAACCTATCCAGTGCACGAAGCAAAGCAAAGAGAAATTCCTCAACAGATTTATCACTCCCCTTGGGACTACCATCGCCAATTTTCCCCTTGTGGACCTCTTGAAGCCATTCGTCTAGAATTAGCAAGCCCCTAAGCTGAACAAACCGACCAAGGCAATCAAAGCTCTCAGTAAGTGAGATGACATCAACAAGCATAATTCGGCAGGCTAGATCAACTTTCTTCTCAGCAGTCTCGGGCTGCATGAGCCGTATTATTTTTTCAACCCCTTCAAAATCTACCAGGCCTCCTTTATCTGTAATTTTAGCAATCTCAATCTTCAATGTGTCTTCAGGTCTAAGTTGAGCTGAATCAGCATCATCTGCTTTAGACAAGCGCTCACGCTTGACAGAATCTGAACTGTGAACACCGTGCTCTCTTTTCTTACTCTTCACCTGCGATGGCATGGAAGAACTGTTCTGTATGTTATCTGTACTAGACTTTAACTGTGTTGTCCCATTTGGACCATTCAAGGGTTTTGGGGAATGGCCTCCTGCCTGCAATGCGCCATACATTTCTACTCTAGTCTTATTTAATAGCTGGTCTACTTCTTCTTGTCGTTCCTGTATCAAATAAGACTACATATCCAATCAAGAGAATTTCAACAGAGAAAAGGCACTGGTCAAAATAATTTAGTTACAACACTCACATTAATATAGTCTTGATCAGTTAGCCACCATAAACGCTTGCTTTCAATATCATACACTCGTCTGCACACAAATGAGGATATCCTTGAAGGAAGTTCAACACCTTTACGAAGGAATGCGACTTTACACGGATGGAGTAACGATGCAGCAGGTATCTCATCCTGGTGAAAGGAGTAAAAGACCTCGTTTGGTGCTGCTTCCAGAGAAGCACCTTTCACAAGCTTAACGTCAGCAGGACGGTAAAGCCAATTCACACTCAGGTTTAGATTATCCTCTTTACCTACTATTAATCTACGAATTATTCCAACAAATGGAGGGGAATCATGGGGTGGCTTGAACAACGCACAGTCACCAACATGAATCTTGCGTCCATCCTGAAACAAATGAGACAGATTTAGATACTGAATGCCATTGTTAACTCTGGATAAACAATAGTTTGTGAGATTGAGAGTCTAGGTTCATATATTCCAAAACGAAGTTCAAAAATATCCTAATGGTAAAATCGGAAACAAATTATATATATACATATGTAGGAACTCCTATAATTCTTATGGTCATTGCAATAATACAATAACTGAAAGCAACTGGGACCAATAAAAGGAACAATTGCTTCATATGGATTGCTTTATCATATAATAGTATCTTAACTGTATACCATTGCCTGATATTAACATCCTCATGGAAATAGCATATGGCAAGAATAAACACCACACAATCAAATGAAACAAGAAAACTGTTTTCTATGTGGGAAAATGCATTCAACAGGTGAGACATTCCATAGACCACTCAAAACTCTAAGAACGTACCTCTGATGAAGTGCAAGCCCGATGATCAAAGAGATCATTTGAAACATTTAGATTATAGATATGGAAGAGTAAGGAGATTTTTCAGAAAGTAATAGAATTTTCATCCCCCAGCATATGTTGTATGTTAACGTTCCTTAAAAGAACTTAAATATAATCATGCATCCAGAAGGGTAACTAATTATAAAGAAAAAATTTGTTGCAACCCCTAAGAAATGCGTGCTAGCCTTGCAAGCATTAAGTGATTAATAAATATTCCACCTCTCATTGTAGAATCCAATAACCAAATACAACCACCTCCATAAACAAACACATATAATCACGGCCAATTGACTAACTTGTTTGACAATAGAAGAAATCAAAATTAAAAGATAACCTCAAAACCCAACATGAAACTGCAGAATTATATTCGCATATCCTGTAAATTTTATGAAGTAGACAGATTAATTTTACCACGTATTGAAACAAAATGTAGAGCAAAAAAAAATAACGCAGGACAGATGTGGTATTGTGAAAGCCATGAGTTGTCGTTCCAATCAATTCCAAGATGACAATAGCAAGTAAGAACGATGATAATAATCAAGGAAGACACCGATTTTGAAATTTTTTCTAAATATATATGGATATACAGTGAGTGGAATAAGAATTTATATACTTTGGAGAAAGTGTTAGAGTCAATGAATACGCAGGAATTGATGGGAGCGACTAGAGACGGCGTGGAGGGAGAGGGGACCGGCCACATGTGCCGCCGGTGGAACCACAGCTCACCTTCCCACCGCCCATACATAACAGCCTTCTTCCATCATGATCATCAACGACATCGGTTTTCCTAAAGATGGATCCTTCTTCTTCGTACTTGGCAACGAGAACCATGAATCTTTTGATCCCCTTTTTCTAATAAATTAGAAACCCTATTGATCATGTAGTATACATAGAGATCGGTGATTGAATAACAGAAACCCTCGAAATCAGAAGGTGAATCGATCGTGAAAAGGTAGAACGGGTATGAATTAGGGCTTATGTGTCAAGACTTGGTGAAACGGATAATTCGGATAAAATTGCAGATCTAGAAATCGGGGGAAGACTGAATTAGCGAATTGGAGAGATCTCAGGGCCGGATTTCGACCGACGGCGACTTCACGGGGATGAAATCTTTTGGAGAGAGAGCGAGATGCGATGAACGAATGATGGATGATGCAACGCCAAACGGCGAATTAACGGGGCAGGTGCGGAGGTGTAATGCTTCATCGTTGTCCAAATTGAAAACGACGTCGTTTGACTATATTTGCCTTTGGCTGGGGGTAATTACCATATCATCTTTTTCGCTTCATTTTATTATTATAACTATATACATCAATAAAAATACTTTTTTGTACATAATAATAAATTATTCATAATTAATAATTCAAAAAAAACAATTTATATGCATACAACAAAACTCATTATTGAATATAAAAGTTAAATTTTATTTTACTGTAATTTAATTTAAATTTATTTTTAAAATTTTTAATTAAAGATCGATGACTTTTACTTCATGATCTTAAATCAATTTTATGATGTCACATTAATTGTGATGTTTCGTTCTTGTCGTTACGTGTTATTAACGAAATTGAATTTTATATACTTAACGTTTTTTTTATCATATAAGACGATCTTAAATTTCGGATTTATTTATCAAACATGATGCTTTTAAATGCATACGTTTTTTTATGATATAAGACGATATTAATTTTTTTAATTTGTTTATCAAACATAATGCTTTAAAATTAATTTAAAAGAAAAATTTAAGGAGGAATTTTAAACTATCACACAAATATTTTACAACATAGCATATTTTATAATTTAATGATTTGTTGATGTTATTTAATTTAATTATTATAATATATATAATTATAAATACAATCAACATCAAAAAATGGGTGTTAGGAGGGTGATGGGTTGGAAAAGGACGCCTATGTGTTCCTTTCAGTTTTGAAATTGGGGAAGCTTTTAAACCTTTGAAAGCAACATCTCATGTAATTTTTCATTATTATAATTATTAATTAAGCATGATAATTTTCCTTATTAATTATTAACACTCTTAAATTGAATATTTTTTATATATAAAAATAAGTGAAAATAATTATAATTAAAAAAAAAACAATTTAAATGCGGGGCTATTGAGAGTTAGACAAAGTCTATGTCTTTGTCCATGGGTTTTGAATAGGGCTGTAAACGAACCGAACGAACACGAACGGAGGCTTGTTCATGTTCGTTCGTTTAACTTAACCGAACAAACGAACGAACACAAACGGTAAACGAACGAAAATCTTTGTGTTCGTGTTCGTTCGTTTAGAAATAAGGTGTGTTCGTGTTCGTTTATGTTCGTTCGTTAACATGCTAAACGAACATAAACGAACGGGCTAAATGAACATAAACGAACGGGCTAAACGAACATAAATAAATATTATTTGAATTCTAAGTAATTAAATAAAAGATTGTATATTAAATTTAATATATAAACGAACATAAACGAACGTAAACGAACGAACGTAAACGAACGGTAAATGAACGAACGTTCACGAACATAAATGAACGAACGAGACTCTTGTTCATGTTCGTTCGTTTAACTAAACGAACAAAAAAAATTGTTCATGTTCGTTCATTTATTAAATAAACGAACATAAACGAACTTCCCGCCGAACGGTTCACGAACGGTTCGCTGAACGTTCGGTTCGTTTACAGCCCTAGTTTTGAATAATGGATTGCTTTGCATATGTTAGGCATTTGGTGTTGAATGTGACCTTTGTGTCATTTATATTATTCTTAGGGTTTGTTTCATTTTACATTATCATAAATTCGAAGTTTGTTAAATAATTCGAAATCTTTTTTTATAAAAAAAATTACAAAAAAAATATTTAATTGTTTTTTTATTAATTGATTATTACAAAACATATATTTTTAACATGTTTTAAAACATTATTATAAGCAAGTCCATCAAATACCAACTACCTACGTTGGATTTCAAAATTGTCGTATTTCATTTTTGTATTTTTATTTAAACCAAATGCATCCACAAACCAAACGAGCCCTTAGGCTTCGTATATTATTTGGAAACGATGCTTCTCATCTTTGCATAATCTTTGCATCGAATGTAGTTTTATGAAGGTGAAGCAATTATTGTATCCTTGAATTATTAATTATCAGTCGAGATACATACCCAAAACAGGAAATAAAAATCCATAATTAGCAAATTTTAATTAAAAAACGAACATAAACTTTATTATTTTTATGTTCTTTCTATAATTTGAACTAATATGGATAAGGAACGTAAAGGTAGAACATATTTATCATACATGTTGAATATGTAAATCGTGCTATATTTTTATTTCATTTGGTTTAAATTTGTATATAAATGCATCCTCGTGTTTTTATAATCTCTAAAACTTGGTGTTATTATAGTTTTCATACTTATATCTTACAACATAAACGAAATATGTTGTCGAACCCAATAAATATTTTTACACTTTTAAAATTCCAGGAACCATATATGTGTGTGTGTGGAAGAGAAAGAGATTTACTTATCAAGTCTTAATTAAAAAAATATAAAACGTGTATAAATAAAGAGTATAAACCCAAGAAAATGCCAAATATACATTTAGCACCAATTTTTTTTCTAGTTCACAAAAAAAGTGCAAAAGCAAAACCAGTATTTTGAAAGAAGAAATGACGATAGTTAATCTCAAAATCGCTCTATAACTTATCAATTCGTAATTCAAGTTCTCAAAACATTCCACGCAGCTTTTTCTTGCAGAGCAATATTGCCATTCGATTATAAATCAACCTTCTCATTGATGTTTCGTCTTAAAATGCTTATATTTTTCTTGCTAACTCTACAATTCTCTACTGAACATTTTTTTTAGTACCCTTGGATAAAACTAACGTGGTTCTGATCAATATATGACTTCACTTAATGCTTGGATGAGTTGTATTACTTGTCGTATATCCTACTTTTTGGACTTAATTTATTGGGATAAATGAGCATGAGATTATTTACATTTATTTTCGTCACATCATGAACGGTCTAAGAATCCATTAACAAGTTCATATTTGGCCTTATTGTGTTCAAATGAATTCAACTCTTGATGTTATTGAACACAAAGTTCATTCTCATCTCAGAGCAATGATCCTTCCTTCCCAGATATCCATGACTCATAATTACATGCATATTTAAATTCCCCTAAGCTCGAGATATTGTGAAAAGAGAAATTCTTAGGGCTATTTACCAAAAATAGCCGTGGATATAACCAAATGTGGTCAACCATGGTTGAAAAAAACAAAGTGGGAGTCGTTTTCCACATCAACGAGTTAGAGGGGAGACAATATGATAAAGTTTTGTGATACTAGTTGGTGAAATCACGAACATGACACTTCCTCTCATTCCATACACAAGCAAGCCACTAATTATGACCTTGGCACAAGTTTCAAGTGTTCCTGATAGGTATTATTTGACGTTAAATTCACGTTTTAAACGATCATATAATGACATGTGAAGTTACACAGTGTAAATATAATATCGTAATTAATTTATGGTTCAAATTCATTAAACTTGGTTTTTAATATTTGACCAAAAATTTATCGCGGAAACTAATGTAAATTGATCCAATGGTCATTTTTTCCCAAAACAATGGGTAAATTGCTAAACAGATGTTGCTAAAACTAACTATAACATCCCAAAACTTGGGACTGAGATGAAATAAGAAAGTCAATCGAGGGGCTTAGGTTGTAATTCATGAAAGTAAAAAGTTTAGGGGCTGAAATGTCATTAATAAAATGTGAAGATTTAATTATAGGTTGAAGAGTACGTTTGGATATAGAAACGGGAAAAGCACGATAACTCATTGATGCTTGTTTTGTAAATCATCAAAAAGTTTCGGCATCTATATTTGGTAAATAAATTAAACAACTTCAAAAAATTATTTAAATCCAAGTTATAAGTAAAAATTAATCACGTCATCTAAGGAGGTGTTTGGGATTGCTTATAAAAACAACTTATTGACTTATTTCGGTGTGACATCGGTAATAAGCATTTTTTTAGTGTTTGGATAAACAACTTATATCGGTACCAAACCGGTAATAAGAAATTTTTGAAAAAGTTAAACCCTTTTGACTTATAATAAGTTGATAAGTACTTTTGTTGATAAACATAAGTTGTTTCAAATAAGCAATCCCAAACACCCCCTAAAACTTCTAACATACGCGAGTTATATTTGGAAAAACATGATAACTATTTGATGATTACTTGATAAGACGAATGATTGTGTGAAAATAAGAATTAAAATGAGAAGTGTAAGAAGAGATATGGACCTTTGTCACCTTTAATCTCAAACTTACCCATAAATCGTGTTTGATATGGGGATTGATCTAGTATATATCATCTCGGTGCATCTCATCTTAATGTCTATCAAAGGGTGGAGATCATTCTTACGCTTATCATTTTAACTCTCGTTCTCACCGGAACTCAACTCTACTTTATAAATCATCAAATGTTGCCGATCTACAAATCTAAAATAAAAAAAAACATCTCAGTTCAATTTACGAGTGAAAGTTATGACCTCGTGACATGYATGCATGAGTTTTCACTTCATGAACAAAGTTAGCGGATATGAAGCATGAACTGAGTTTGTACGAAAATTAAAACCATAGTTCTTGGGATTGTAATAAATGAGTTACGATTGGCAGATCTAAAAAAATCCCTAACAGGGGTACCAAATAACTAACATACTGTAGAATAAAAACAAAAAAGCAATTGTTAGAAGTACGACTTAATTAAAAAACGACATACATGTGATTTTTTCTTTCCTTAGTTTACCTTGTTTTCTATTATTGTTAGCAAAAAAAATAAAATAAAAACCAACATGATTCGAACTTGCAATCTATAATGTGAATGCAATAACATTAGCAATAAGATGCAAACCACTTTTCGGTAACTTAGGTCTTATTTGTTTTCTTAGAAAAAAAAAACTTTTATCGGCATCTCATGTCTGATTAATTAAGAGGTATGTCATTCAGACTGTTTTTTTCTCCAATTTTTCAGAGGCATTTATGTTTTGTTACCCTCTTGTCTGACAAGAGGTAAAAAAAATCTCTTGTTTGTCTCTTATTGTTCTTCAGGCCATCCGCAACAACGTTTCTCCCCCGATTCTTACCAAATCTA